TAAGGTCACTTAAAAAAAGAAACCTTTTAGGCAACCTGTGTCTTCAAACACAGCTACTTTTGCTGCCCCGTGGCTGCTGCAGGTACTTCCTCCCAAAATGCTGGGAGGAGCAGTCCAGGCTTTTTTATGAGTGACCCTTTGGTTGACTAGGTCACTATAAAGTGTTGCTAAACCCAGGACCCTGCATTCACTATATCTGGTCTCCCACAATACACACAAGATGGAATTGCAATTATTTTAGTAAATATAAACTGCTAAATACCTTTTCTCATCAGCAGTTAGAGCAGTCTTTAGACTGCTATCAATATCCAGTAGAGCACTGGTTAAAGTTTTAAGGAGAGGTTTTAATTTGCTCTAGGAGAATGCAGAACCCCTGACCTCTGTCTGGACAGTGCTGATTGGCCCTGTACTGATCACATGCACTCTCCCAAGAAAAAAAAAAAAACCTCTCTAGCAATACACACTAAACTGAGCATGTGAAGAAGGGCTATGGGTTCAGTCTGTCTTAGGCTCCATGTACACTGCAGTAGATAAACTCGCATTTAGGAGCTTTTCTGCGTTTTTTTCAGCAGCCCCTGAACTCTCCCTAATGTTTTCCTATGTGTCCATGTACACTATGTTTACAGGCAGTTGAGTTTACAGTCTTTTTTTGAACGCACCAAGCTTGTGTTCAGGAGTAGATTTTATCAGCCTTTCAAACGCCAAACACTTGTAAACGTGTAAACATGGCTAACTGCGTTTATAAGCAATTGCGGTTGGAAATTTTTTTTTAACTCTTTCATTTCCAGATGCTGTCCAGAGCCTTTTTTCATCATGAAAAATGCATGCAAAGCGTTTTCCCGGTACTCAAATAGACCTGGTACACCATACTTTGAGGTTTTGCATGAAAGAAAATATGTTAGACACTGCTGCAATATTTCTGCACAGAAATGAGCTGGAACACATCCAAACACCACAAAAAAAAAAAAGACAGCCAATCTCAACAAATACTGCTCTCTCTGCTTCTGCTCTCTCCATTTCTCTCAAAATGTCTGAAATAGTAAATTTTTTTCTGTTTTTCAATGCATTCTGGGCATTTTGGAAGGTCTCCTGAGGTCATCTTTAAAAAAACGATTCTAAACGCAAATGCTCAAAAACGCGGTATGCAAACGCGGCTCAACAGACGTTTTTTTAACTTATGTTTTCCAGCAGTCAGTTTCCATGGTCAGAAGTGTCCTGTGTATATGGAGCCTTATCAGGAGATAAGATTTGGACATTTGAACAAGGGGAGGAGAAATTAGAATCAAATGGCCTTTTTACACAATGCAGAGGATTAACCCCTTAGGTTCCACAGTGAGTATAACAAGCATGCTATACTGCATATACAGACTGATTTTACTGTTGTGGGTTTAGTAACACTTTAAGCTTTTCGAGTCCTAGAAATATAATTTGTTTACAGAACTGTAAATCTTCCTATGAGCATCCTCCAGTAATGCCCGTAGCGTAAAAGAAAGAAAAGAAGTAGCGCAGGGCAGGCATGACTAGGCCTAGAGTGGGAAGGAAGACTAGAAAGGGTTAAGTCAGTGCCAGGGGGTTTGAAAATATATAGGTGGGAGCTGGTTGGTAGAGGGAGAGCGTGGGTGGTCTCTTTGGCACCTTTGGGTGGGGTGTCCTGGGTGGGGGGCAGTCAGTCGGAGCTGGACGTTGGTGAGTGAGCTTCCCTCCCGCCCTCCCTATTTAGTGAGTATTGGGTTCCTCTAAGGGGAATGGGGGTTATGCGGTTCATGGGCGGTTGTTGGTCTTTGGAGGTGGGTATTATCTTGAAGGTACAGAGAATGGTGTGGGACCCATCGGTGGTATGGTGTGCCCGGGGACATTACAGTTAACCGAGGTTTAACTGGAAGGTGGTGGTGCTGCACTGCGGACGGTAAGGTTGTCTCCGAGCTGGTTGGCTGCGGCTGGAGGCCTGGTGTTATATGGGGTCCGCAGGTGCATTTCAGATTATTTTTGGATGGTGCCTTCGAAGACCAACAACAAATCTGTATGTTTTTCTGTTATAAGGAATGGTTTGGTGTTTAAAACGTGTTGGTTAATAAAAGGCCGTGTTGGCCATTTTACTCCAAATCGTTGTCATGTTTTTCTTTAAGTAGGAGTTATAGGTAGGGGGATCTGGATGAACCGATCTCTGGTGCACAAAAATATTTAAAAGAACCTCCTGCGCTTATATGGAATCCTAACCTAGAACACAGCTGCTGGCACCAAACTTATACCCAAAAATAAGTGAATAATCAAAAAAGAACTATGCAGTGCAGCGCTAATCAATAATATATAAAATATCCAATGAATAGGTGATACAATAAATTTGATATACACCCTGAGAGTATATATCCAAAATCATCAATAATAATAACTTAATGCCATACATGTAATCCCTTAAAGGGAATATCTAGTGCAAACCGTGACAAATATAATCATAAAACAATAAAGTGGCAAAAACATACGGTGCTCAAAATAAGTGAACCAATATGCAATTACAGAAAAAAGTCCAAATAATCAATACAGGTAATAATGCTTTATGGTGATCTTCACACTCCACTCTTCATGCAAACTAAATGTGCAGTGTACGTGATTCACACGTGCCAATCCTTAACGGTCAAAATGCCTCCTCAACTCCTTACTTAGACCCCACAGGGCCAGCACGCTTTAGGATCAAATGATCCTGTCAGAATGGATTCCTCTCTGGATTTCTCCTTCCACCTCCAGCATCCACCAGACTAACAGCCAGCTCCTCCCAGGGTCATAATGAAATACAAACAGAGACCCTCCATAGCGCAACCAGTTTTTATTAAACGATAAATAGATAGAGTATACAGTTCCACTCACATTTGTGATGATTTTCTTCAGCTTCCTTACCACATCTATGGGTGTACTGCATGGGTAATGTAACAGGGTGTTCCAATATGGCCCCCACGCCGGAAATGACGTCACCACGTTAGCTCCTCCCACCGTACCTACGCGTTGCGTCACGTTCAGCCTGACGAACGTGACGCAACGCGTAGGTACGGTGGGAGGAGCTAACGTGGTGACGTCATTTCCGGCGTGGGGGCCATATTGGAACACCCTGTTACATTACCCATGCAGTACACCCATAGCATGTGGTAAGGAAGCTGAAGAAAATCATCACAAATGTGAGTGGAACTGTATACTCTATCTATTTATCGTTTAATAAAAACTGGTTGCGCTATGGAGGGTCTCTGTTTGTATTTCATTATGACCCTGGGAGGAGCTGGCTGTTAGTCTGGTGGATGCTGGAGGTGGAAGGAGAAATCCAGAGAGGAATCCATTCTGACAGGATCATTTGATCCTAAAGCGTGCTGGCCCTGTGGGGTCTAAGTAAGGAGTTGAGGAGGCATTTTGACCGTTAAGGATTGGCACGTGTGAATCACGTACACTGCACATTTAGTTTGCATGAAGAGTGGAGTGTGAAGATCACCATAAAGCATTATTACCTGTATTGATTATTTGGACTTTTTTCTGTAATTGCATATTGGTTCACTTATTTTGAGCACCGTATGTTTTTGCCACTTTATTGTTTTATGATTATATTTGTCACGGTTTGCACTAGATATTCCCTTTAAGAGATTACATGTATGGCATTAAGTTATTATTATTGATGATTTTGGATATATACTCTCAGGGTGTATATCGAATTTATTGTATCACATATTCATCGAATTTATTGTATCACCGATCTCTGGTGCACTAGTCATGCAAATGTAAAGCTGTAAATCACTAGGATATGTGTTTTGGATTACTGTGAATATGTAATTTATTATACTGATACATAAATTTGAAGGGGTTCAAGTAATGTTTGCAGTGCTTCATATTTGCTTTGGAGCTTAAAGCGGAGCGCAACCCAAAAAAAAGGGGAAGTTCCGCTTTAAGGACTGTTCCCCCGCTCCCCATTAAGGATTGGCACCTTTGGGGGGCGTGAGTGGGTACCCGAATTAGACAGGTACCGGCTCCCACTTCCAGCCCAATCGCCTAGGGGACCGGAAGTGGAAGGTGTCCTCCCTCCCTCCCTGTAGTCTTTTGGGACACGTGACAGGTCCCAGAAGACTACAGGACCATTCATGAAGCGCAGCGTTACTCGCGCATGCGCAGTGGGCACCGGGCTGTGAAGCCACAAGCTATCACAGCCGGGTGCCCACATTGAAGATGCCGGCCTCCTGGAATATAGGATGGCCAGTGAAACAAGCTGAGGGGGACACACCGCGGGACAGGTAAGTGGCTGTTTTTTAAAAGTCAGCAGCTTCAGTTTTTGTAACTGCTGACTTTTTTATTTTTTGACAGGGTGAGTAGAACTCCACTTTAACCACTTGCCTACCAGGCACTTATACCCCCTTATTTACCAGGCCAATTTTCAGCTTTCAGCGCTGTCGCACTTTGACGGACAATTGCGCGGTCATGCAACATTGTACCCATATGAAATTTTGATCATTTTTTTCTCACAAATAGAGCTTTCTTTTGGTGGTATTTAATCACCACTGGGCGCTTTACTTTTTGCGCTATAAATAAAAAATTGCCAAAAATTTGAAAAAAAAAAAAAACTTTCTTTGTTTCCATTATAAAATTTTTCAAACAGGTAATTTTTCTCCTTCACTGATGTGCGTTGATGAGGCGGCACTGATGGGCACTGATAGGTAGGCACTGATGGGCACTGATAGGCAGCACTAAAGGGCACTGATAGGCAGTACTAATGAGGTGGCACGGATAGCCGGCACTGATAGACAGCACTAATGAGGTGTCACGGATAGGCGGCACTAATATGCAGCACTGATAGGCGGCACTGATAGGTGACACTAATGATGGGTACTGATAGACGGCACTGACTGGCATCACTGCTGGGCACTGACTGGCGGCACTGACTGGCACAACCGCTGGGCACTGACTGGTGGCACTGACTGGCAGCACTGCTGGGCTGCACTGGTGGGTGGGCACTGGTGGGCAGCACTGGTGGGTGGGCACATGTGGGTGGCACTGGTGGGCACAGGTGGGTGGGCACAGGTGGGTGGCACTGCTGGGCACAGGTAGGTGGCACTTCTGGGCACAGATGTGTGAAATTGCAGAGTGGCACAGGTGGGTGCACTGCTGGGCACAGGTGGGTGCACTGCTGGGCACAGGTGGGCGGAGCTAGTGGGCACACTGCAGGGTACAGGTGGGCGGAACTTGCGGGTGGCACTGCTGGGCACCGATCATCAGGGCACTGATCATCAGTGCCCTGATGATCGGTGCCGATCCCCGCTCTGACAACTGCCGGTTCTCGGCAGTACTTTCCTCGCGATCTGACAGCGTGAGGAAAGTGCAGCCGAGAACCGGCACTTGCATTTCCCTCTGATCAGCGTGTCATTGGACACCGCTGATCAGGTGGTAAAAGCCGCTGTGATTGGCCTTTTACCACATCACGTGATCAGCTGTGTCCGTAGGTCACAGCGATCACGGAGATCGCCGGGTGCGCGCCCCCTGGGGCGCGCAGGAGAGCGCGTTCTGGGGGGACGTCATATGACGTCCACTCAGAACTGGCCGGCCGCAGTGCAGCCGTCATTCGGCTATCTGCGGTCGGCAACAAGTTAAGTAACCCCTCATTTCTAACTCCAGAGCAGCTAGAAGAACCCCAGCTGCCAGAAAACACCTTTTAGTGCCTGTTCACACGGCACATAGCATGTGATTCACACAGGAATCACACCTCATTCCTGTGCAAATCACATGCGATTTCTGTGCGGTGCAAACTGAGCCATACATTTTGTGAACTGATTATGTGAACTGATATTGGGAAGTCGTTAACTTAACATACACACCTTCAGCGGTAAGCATGAACGGGGTACAAAGTTGATGCGGTGCGGGAATCACACAGAAACCGGTGAGAATTATGCACTGCATCAGTGTGAACCAGCACTTAGACTGTAGTCACACCTGCGCTTTTTCTAAATGTGTAACTGACGGGGAAACCCAAAACTCATGGGTTTCAGTAACATTTTGACTGCTGAAGCCGGATTGAAAAGTAGATGTTTATTATACAAGCATGTAGCTAGACCTCCATGCAGGGAGAGCAGAACAATACATAGTGTTGGATTCAAAGTAATGCTCTATCTAACTAGGGCTTTCTAATACAATTTATATGCTCTACAGTGGGTGGTACCTAGCTATCTGATCTTTCTTGAAGAGTCATCTGTGTCTTTGGTGTAACTCATTGAGATGCGAATAGTTATCTACATGTTATTGTTACTTCCATTGTCCTTTGGGTTTAACAGGTCTTCAAAGGCTGTGATAATAATCTTGTAGACAATAGGTGGTGTGAATGCTGCGGAACTGGAAGTAGGAGTGAAGCGCCAAATGTTGAGCCAGCAGGAGAGGGAAATAGGTTGTTAGGCCATCTAATTCAATACCAATGTATTTCATATTTATATCTAGAAATGGCTGCTCCATTTTCCCTTACAGTAACAAAACACACAGAAATGTGCGTTTTGCTGTGTGTTTCAGAAACGCACTGCAATCGCAGTTTGCGCTTGCAGTGATATTGTTAATGGCAACCCGAGCACAGGTAGCGGATGCAGATTTTGCCACATGCTTCAAATGGGCACTGATAAAACGACCAATGCTTCAAGACCGAAAAGGTTCTGGAGCTACTTTGGGGCATTTGTCCTGCATAGGGCAGTCCATTAAAGTAAATGGGCTGCCCTAGGTGTGACACTCATTAACATATGAAAAACATGCAAGAAAATTGAGTGGGAATGCACATTCCCACTGCATTCAGGTGTAAATGAGACCTTAGATACTATAGGAAGATCAGTGTTTGCATAGCTGTGTCAGCAGCACTTTGGGAATAACCAGGTAAACGAGAGTCTGACATGGCGCTCGTTGTTCTGTAACAGTTTTTTTAAATGTTTGACTTCACTATCGTTTACATTGAAAGACATTTATTAAACAAAATTTATTTTTATTAGTGTAAGATAAACTGCATTATAGAACTATCCCTTTTGGGAAGATTTTGGCCAATTACGGTATGTGTCCCTGTGAGAACAAGAGAAATTAGGCAACAGTTGTCACTGGGACAGGCAGACACACACAAAAACAAAAAAAAGTTTGCCTGGACTTGGACTTTAATGAATGAAAATATTTTTTAGATGACAGAAGTCTATAGAAGGTACAACTTGGATATTAGTATACATGTAAAATCTACATGCTGAACTATACATTTTCCACCATTTGCCATTTTTAGGCATTGCGTTTATGAAAAAAAATTAGGTTTCAAATGTGGCATTCACATTAATGAATTTTACACAGCATGTGCACCAGAATTACATAATCAGAAATGGATCAAAGAAAGTACATTAAAATAACCCTTGAGTTCACTGTTCAAACAATTGTTTTGCTGCTACAAAATGACATATTATTTTAAATGTATGACAGCTGTATTATTTAGCGCTTAAAAGATCAGCTGCATATTGTCACCTCCAGCTCCAGGGATCCGCTCTATTTTAATATCTACTCCATCAAGTCTTTTTCATTTATGGAAACGGCCACAAAGGGGGAAGTGGGCATTGATGGAACAGGAGCAGAAGGAGAATGACTAAAGAGTTGTGTAGGCATGGATAGATGTGGTGCAGAATGGTCATAGAGGAAGTAGAGGAGAATGTCCAGAGAGGAGACTGAGGATGGAGGACGTACAAGAGAATGTTCAGAGATAGGAGTTGGCATGGAATAGGTAGAGGAGAATGTGCAGAGAAGTAAGTGGGCATGGAAGAAGTCCAGGGAGGAGAGTAAAGCAGGGTACACACTATGAGATAATTGGACAAATGATAATCCGATTTTCCACAAAGGTGTGCATCATGATGTACCCACAATGGGTATTAACTTGTATGAAAGTTCTTGAATGACAACGATAAACGTTCTTTGTTTTGTACGATTTCTATGTCTGTTTCCACCTTCCTCCGACCATTCTTTGTGTATCTTTTTCTATTTAATTATTTCTCTGCGATCACTGCACACAATGAACGAAAATCAGACATTGTGTTCAGATGCGATAAAAAATTTCTAGCTTGCACCTTCATTTTTTTTTTTTTTTTTTGTCCAAACAGTTGAAATCGACTTTCGAAAGCACTATACTAATGATCAACTGATTGTTCCTTTTACATAATTTTTCTTCTGCGTTTCTTATAGTGTGTACCCAACGGAAGGAGGTGATAGAGGGGAATGTCCAGAGAGGAGAATGAGGATGGAGGAAGTAGAAAAGAATAACTACATAGTGAAAAGAGGGGGTGCAGGAAGTAGAAAAGAATAACTACATAGTGAAAAGAGGGGGTGCCTAACATAATCTGCTATTAGATTCTCAAATGCATCATCTCAAGTGATGATAAAATAACGAATATCTTTAGGAGAGAGAGAGAGAGAGAGGGAGAGCGCTCTATGGGTCACGATCATATGGGATAAACCCATAAATGCCCCAGATACATTCAAGTATCATAAGTTGGTCTACTCATTTCATGGGAACGCCTGCTTCATCAGGACCATGTGTATTGCGTAGAGCTTGTAATTAAATAAATCAAACTCTAAAGAGCATATAGAATATAAGTGGCAAATGTCATGGGTTGTCTGTCTGAAAATGTGCTTACTGACCGATAGGACATACCCAGATCCAAAAAGCCCCAGATATAGATGAGCATAGTGTTAAGAACAAAATCTAGGTACACATCACTGTTTTGAAACCCAGGGAGGTGTATTATGGATAAAGGGAGCCTGTGGGCAGAGAAGGCACCCACATTTCTAAGATGGAGCCTCCCATATGAAATAACTTGTGCCTCCACCTTTAGACTTCACGTTGACCGCATGCCAGGTGGGGGTGAGGGAGCGACACTTTCACTGGAACATTGGACCAAGCCATTTTTTGGCGCTGCGTCACTTTAACTGACAATTGCACGGTCATGCAACACTGCACCCAAATGAAATTTATGTCCTTATTTCCCCACAAATGGAGCTTTCTTTCGGTGGTACTTGATTGCCTGTGCATTTTTATTGTTTGTGCTATAAACAAAAAAAGTCTGACAATTTTGAGAAAGAAAAACAATATTTTTGACTTTTTGCTATTAACCACTTGCCTACCCGGCACTTTTACCCCCTTCCAGCCCAGGCCAATTTTCAGCTTTCAGTGCTGTCAATTGCACGATCATAGAACGCTGTACCCAAACAAAATTTTTATCGTTTTTTTGAGACAGAGCTTTCTTTTGGTGGTATTTAATCACCAGTGTTTTTTAAATTTTTTTCTAAACAAAGGCAGCACTCATATATGGCACTGATAGGCGGCACTGACTGGCACTGATAGGTGGCACTGACTGGCACTGTTAGGTGGCACTGACTGGAACTGTTATACGGCAGTGACGGGCACTGATAGGTGGCACTGATTTGGAGGCACTGGCTGGCAATGATAGTTGGCACTGAAAGGCAGCTCTTACGGGCACTGATATGAGGAATTAATGTGCACTGGTAGGCACTGATTTGTGGCATTGATGTGCACTGATGGGCACTGGGATGTGGCATTGATGGGCAATTACAGGTGGCATTGATGGACACTGACAGGTGGCACTGCTGGGGCTACACTGATCAGTGCCCTGATGATCAGTGTAAATGTCCCCTCTTAGGAATGCTGATTACCGGCTCTCCTCTCCACACGTGCTGTTAGCGTGAGGAAAGGACTGCCGATAACCGTCATTTCCATGTTTACATGTGATCAGCTGTGATTGGACACAGTTGATCACATGAGAGAGCTGACGTCATCGGCTCTTTACGGTGATCGGCTGTATCCCAGGGACACAGCACACCACCGATCACCGTGTGCCCCCAGGGATGCACATGCGCAGATAGAGTGGGAGGACACCATATGACGTTCTCCCAGAACGAGAGAACCGCCACCTGTCCGTCATTTCCTTATTTGGCAGACAGGAGGAGGTTAAACATGTCCAGTAAAAAAATTCAAAAAATTAAATTTTATCATAAATTTAGACCAAAATGTATTCTGCTTCATATCTTTGCTAAAAACAATCCCAATAGATGTAAATGAATTGGTTTATGTGAAAGTTATAGTGTCTACAAATGGCAGTGTATATATATATATATATATATATACTGGAATTTGTTTTTTTTCATGCTAGTAAAGACGGCGGGCATTCTGACACGTGGGGGGGGGGGGGGGGAGGGAATAAAAATCAAAAATAAAATCAAGAATAAAATAAAAATGCTAATAAAAATCACTGACACTGTACTGATGACACTGGGCAGGAAGGGGTTAACATCTGGGGCAATCACAGGGTTAATTGTGTGCTGTGTTTCACTGTCAGCACATTGCTTTGTATTGCTCTGCTATGCAGAGCAATACAAAGTAATGTGCAGGAGCTGACAGGGGAGAGAGATCTGTACTGTTTACATACAGGTCTCGCCCTGGTCAGTGATACTCGGCGATCGCAGGGTGCCGGCGGGGAATCACCAGCCGGGACCCAGTGATCGACAGCTGAGGCCACCAATTTCCTACCCGGAAATGCAAAATCACGTATATTTACATGATTTTGCCGAGCCCTGTAGCAGTATTTCTGCTCTAGGGCAGCAGGAAAGCGGTTAAACAAGTTGTAGTGATCCTAAACCATCACTGAAAATCAGCATACATCAAAGTAACCTGGTGAGTCCAATACAATACAGAAAAAATGCACATAGGTGGGACAAACCACTTTAGTTGATCAATTGACAAAAATAAATTAATTTAAAAACCTGCATATGCAAAACACAAAAACTGTAGTTAATCCAGAAGAAAAAAAAAACATTATAAAGCATGGTCCATTTGCTGCAGCATGGTAAAAAAAAATACAACAGTGGAAAAAAGGAGACTGATCTCTTAAGGTAACAATGGAAAAAAAAGAAGACTGATCTCCTAAGGCAGTGATGATCAACTTAAAATATCAGAGTAACCCCCAGCATTGGTGTCAGTTACTGTAATAACTACCAGCACTGGTGTCCATGATCACAATATTAACCCCCACTGTCGGTGTCAATGACTATAATAATAATCCCCAGCATTTTTGTCAGTTACTGTGATAATAAGTCTGAGTACTGGTGTCCATGACCACAATAATAATCCCCACTCTTGGTGTCAATGACTATAACAATAACCCCCAGCATTGGTGTCCGTGACCGTAGTAATAACCCCCAGTATTAGTGTCAGTGGCTGCAGTAATAACCCCCAGCATTGGTGTCAGTGACTGCGATAATAACCCCCAGTATTAGTGTCAGTGGCTGCAGTAATAACCCCCAGCATTGGTGTCAGTGACTGCAGTAATAACCCCCAGTATTAGTGTCAGTGGCTGCAGTAATAACCCCCAGCTTTGGTGCCAGTGGCTGTAATAATAACCCCCAACATTAGTGCTGGTGACTGTAAAGTTCATAGATGCCAAAAAAAATTTGAGGACCCAGCCTTAGGACCTCATTTGCATCTAAACATTTTGTAGCTGAAAGCTCCAAATGCTCAACATACAAAATCCCATCTACAGTAATATAGTGGTGGCTGCTCATATATGAGCACTCAGGCTCCTGTAGCTCAAAGTCTGACAACTGAAAAGCTACATGAGATACTTTTGAGGCCAAATCAGGTCTTTGTGGCCTCATATACTTAAATGGGAACACCTAAAAATATGCAACTCAAGTGTTTTTTAGCTAGTTTTTTCCAGGTATTTTTAGCCACTAAGAACTGATCTCCTCTCCCTAATGCTTTCTATTAGTTAAAACAAAAACACCTGAAGCTTAAATACATGTAAAAACTCTTGAAATTTGTTACTAAAACACTTATATACACATGCAAAAACACTAAAAAAATGCTTACAATTTGCTGTGCTCAGCCTAAGGGCTGGTTCACAGGAGGTGCATCTGAGCATGCGCGCTTTTTTTTTAACTCTCTCGTACATCGTGTTTCAGGACGGCTCATTAATTTTAATGGGCTGTCCTATGCACGTGAAACACGCAAAAAAGGTGCCATCATGACTTCATCATTTTGTGCAGCACCAAAACGCATGGTACTTTCATAAATCTTGCAACACCAAAACGCATGGTACTTTGCCACCATGTGTTTTGGCTGACGCGAATACATGCACATTTGCTAGATTCATGGGGGTGCAATTAAAAATTAATGGCACCCCTATATGCCTGCATATTTTTGTGTGGTGCATGAAAATGCGTAAGTTCCGGCACCACATCTGGTGTAGACAAGCTGGCACAATTTTTAAAATTGCGCTGCACCAAGATTCATGGTGTTGTGCTACCATATGTTTTGGTGGGCCCAAGAATTAATTGCACCTGTATGTGTCTACAAAAGGCAGTGCGTTTTTTTTTTTTTTTCCACGCGTTCCTACCCCAGACCTGGTGTGAAAAAGCCCTAAGGCATTTGAATTCTCTCTGGTTTCAACAATTTGCAGTCTTACATAAGGCTCTTGCACACAGATGCGAAAAAAACTCATATTTTTAGGAATTCAGCTTTTTTTTACTGATCTAACTTGTTGGCGCAATAGATCAGGAAAAAAAAAAATCTGTGTTTCTAGTCAGAATTTTATGTGTGTATATATGTGCCTACGACACACCACCTTGCCAAAAACAAATAATTTTTACAGGTGTGTACTTGTACACACAGGTGCGTAAACTTGAGCTCCATACAGATGAGAAAAAAATATACAAAAATATTTTAGGCAGTATTTAATGCGTTAAGTCACTTCCTGATGACAGTCCATTGATCGAAACATGTCGAGTTTTGATGACACAACTTCCGCCGATGTCACTTCCGCTCTTTGGAACGCACGCTGGAACGCGGCGGCCATTTTAACTTCCATTCACATACAACAAGGCTGAATACACCTAGTGCCAGGCTATGGGCACTTTTTTTGTGTGAGTTGCCTTTTTATAGTCTGTCCCCACCATTAAAGTTTTTACGGTTTTTACACTATGGGATGTCCTTTTTTGTTTTTATGCTGATTGCTTGACCACTGCCTGTGGGGGAGAGAAGGATTTTTGGTATTGATATAGCCACTGTGAAGGAATATCTGTTACTTTTAGCAACGTAGCTTAAAGCTTGTGAAGGAACATCGGTTATTATTACCACATTGCATAATGGGATAGTCCCAAAAGCGCATATGACCATCCTAGAGATAGGTGGCCATGGGATGACGGTGAGTTCAAATCCATGTGGGGCACCGGTCTGAGCACAGCGGAGCACTTGTCACTTTAATACGGAGTTCACAATCAAGGATAGAGCACCATTGCACTATATTTCACATACTGTGACTGAGTACTATTACCAGTATAACTATTTATATTGTTTATCACAAATCATTTACCTATTGTCACTAATATAGGCCGTACATGAGTCGAATTTTGAACGATTTTTTGCCATTGACCACTAACAGAACGAAAATCGGCCGATTATAATAATAATTATTCTTAGGTCCAATTTTCGGATGAAAAATCGGTCGAATTTTAACCCATGTATGGCCGGCATTAGTCTATTGCTTGCACGGCCCAAGTGCAGTCTACAGTATATGGTATTTACTTAGTTTTTATGTATTTGCAAAACAACCCCCTTGCCTAAAACAAAGAATTTTTACACATGTGTATATGCATGAACTATACAGCCCATCCTTGTGTTTTTACGCAGGAATTTTCTGCCAAGATATCTTATTTTCATACAACAGTAGTGTGTGCAGGAACCCATAGGCTTCATTCACACAGTCATTAAAAAAACAACAAAAAAAATGCATGTACAAGCATTTTTTATTTACGGATCTGAATGCAACTGCATTGCTTTCAATGGAGACATTCAAATGGATGTGCAAACATGCACTGTATTCAGGTCTGTAACAGAAAATCCAAAAATCTGAGGACCTAATTATACATGACTGCAGTTATTGGAGAAAAAAGAACAGTATTTACTGGTCATTACGCAGGAACCTTTGCATTAGAGAAAAAAATGCATAAGGGAAGTAACATATTTACGCCTATGTAAATGCAACCTTAGAAATATTAGTAGTAGCATAGGGCCTGGGGGATAGTGGTGAAATGTTCCTTCAATGCCATCACTCTTGAGGCAGCCTACAAAGTTCTCCTGCGGTGGTACTGGGTCCCGGCTCGGATTGCTCACTTTAATCCGACTGGCAGAGATAGCGGTTTCCGGAACTGTGGTCTACGTGGGGACGTCTTGCACATTTGGTGGTCGTGCCCGCGATTGATAGGCTTCTGGTCTAAGGTTTTTGGTTTGCTGCAAACGCTATTTCATATTATGGTCCGTAGGGATGCAAGAGTGGCCCTCCTGCATTGCCCAATTTTGGGACTGTCTAGGTCTCAGCAGAAATTGGCATCTTACCTATTCATTTCGGCCAAATTGTGCTATAGCTCAAGCTTGGAGAACCTCTTCGGTTGTCTTCCAAGGGGGTGAAGACCCGGATGAATGCTATGTTGATCAATGAACAGATGTCTAGCCTTCTTCAAAATTCTCATCTGAGATTCCTTAACCAATTCAATACCTGGCAAATTTACACCTTCCTGCCCAGGCCATTTTTCAGGTTTCAGCGCTCTCACACTTTGAATGACAATTGCGCGGTCATACAACATTGTACCCAAACTAAAATTTTATCATTTTCTTCACGCAACTAGAGCTTTCTTTTGGTGGTATTTAATCACCGCTGGGGTTTTTATTTTTTGCTAAATTAACAAAAAAAAAACCAAAAAATTTTAAAAAAACACACGTTTTTCTTTGTTTCTGTTATAAAAGTTTGCAAATAAATAATGTTCTTCACAAATTTAGGCCGAGATGTATTCTGCTACATGTCTTTGGTGAAAATAACCCAAATTAGGATGTATTTTTTAGTTTGTAGGAAAGTTATAGAGTTCACAAACTATGGTATAGATCTGAATATTGATCAATCCTGAAGTACTGACAGCCAATCTAATTTCTTGAGGTCCAAGAATGTCAGAACAGTACAGATATCCCCCAAATGACCCCTTTTTGCAAAGTAGACAGTCCGACGTACTTCATAAGAGGCATGGCGAGTTTTTTGAAGTTGTATTTTTTTTGTCATAATTTTTCGGAAAATTAAAAAATTAAAAAAATTAGTTTCACTATTTTTTTTTTACATACTGTCACCAGTGCAGTACAGCGTCATCATATAACTGGCATGGCGGTGATCAGGGACATTGACTGGTGACAGTATGAAAAAAAAAAAAAATATATATATATATATATTTTTTTTTATTTTTTATTAAATTTTTTTTTTCTTTTTTTTTAAGTTTTTTTTTTCATATTTCATTATGACCAAAGCAGTACAATGTTACCATAGTAACATTGTACTACTTTGGGGAAGTGATCAGTATTTATTTTTTTTACACAATTTGCTTATAGCAAAGAATTACTTTGCTATAAGCAAGCATTTACCTGAATGACATCGATTCATTTAGGGTTTTTTTTTTTTTTTGTGCTTAGCTGTGATTTGGCCACAGCTAATCACATGACATGTGCATGTGATTAGCTGTGACCATTCACAGCTAGACACTAGTATACAATGGATGGCATGAATGAAGCCATCCATTGTATACAACTGTCATGTGACCTGCTGTGATTGGTCACAGCAGGTCACATGGTACCTGGCAACAGAGGCCGATACTCAGATCTGTCATCGGTCGTGTCCGAGGTACACGGCTGGTGACAGATCGCGCCGCATCGTGGCTCTGCAGGAGCACAATCTGCGCATGTGCGGGAGGACGCCATATGGCGTCCACCCGGAATGCTGATGACATTTGCCGCCCGCCATTCGGCCATAGGGCAGGCAGCAAATGGTTAAGGTTTGGGAACCTTGGATACATTATTCCCTGCAGTCCCTGCCTCCTACTAGTTATGGACTCTTATAGTAGCTGCCTGTGCTAGCCCTGGATCCGTGATTCTTCTAGTCCTCCTTTCTTTCATGTTTTCTCCCTGAATCTTTCTTCCTTCCTTATTTCTTTCTATGTGTTTTTATATTTTCTTTTTTTTTTATCAGTTTGGGGGTTTTTTTTTCCCGTATGTTCTGAGCTGATACTTCTTGGTAGGGGTTTTCGGTAATATGATGGATTGCTGCTGTTACTATTTGGTTCAGCTTTTTGCTGTCCCTCCTTGTTGTCATTGGACGTTCCATTATTTGGCTAATACACCCTGCTGACTTGTATCTGCTTATGTATGTTATTGTTCTGCTCTGCCCCTGCGTGGGCGTATCATGAGCTTGTTGTATTATCAAAACAAAAACTTCTTTAATAAAAATATTGAAATAGAAAGATTAATAGTAAATTATATTCCTTCTTAGATTGTAAACTCCAAGGAGCAGGGCCCTCCTAACCCTCTTGTATTGAACTGTATTGTTGCTGTATTGTCTCCTTTTATATTGTAATATACGCTGAGCAAACTGTTGGTGCTATATAAATCCTGTATAATAATAATATTTTCTGCATTTAGAAACACATAAAGCCCTGTTGTTGAAACCCTCTTCAGAGCTGGCTTGAACTAGCTCCTGCGGAAGATATATATTTTCCTACATGAGTCCTAAAAAAACAGAAAATTCCACCGGTCATGAGCTGAAAGCACTGTTTGCTGTGCAGACAGGCGGTTTCTTTTTGCAGTTTTGGTCCTAGCAAAGATGGCGTCACGCTTACTACAGAGACAGAGGAGTAAACACGTATTTCGCCTCTGTTAACACAAGATTGAAAAAAAAAAAAAGGAGCCTTCCACTGCTCCTCCCCCTGTGTGAGCAAAATGTGGAATTCCCCGTAGTCTGACACACACAGGAACTTCCCATCAGTCATCAGGAAGGGTGAGAGTGTCTATTTCCAGATGCACATCTATTTTTCAGATATCTTTAGTAAGAATGAGTTCTTTCTAGTGCTGAAGGCAGGCATGTCGCAGCCACAACAGACTGAATAGCTAGTCCTAGCTGCAGCCTGTTAAAGGGAGAGCAGACAAGAAGAGCAGCTCAGGTTGGTGATATTTATAAACAGCCAAGAAGACCTGAGCCCCCAGGCCAGCTTTAAAGGACAGCCTTGTGTCATGTGTGTCACATGTCGGTGACAGTATCCACCAGACGTGTTCAGGTGTTACTAAGGTGACACAGGCACAAACATGCTCATGGGGCGGGGATAAAAGGAAGGCCTGAACTTTCCAGAATGAGGAAGAAGGTGAAAGAAGCCACTGAATATTGTTTCACTTCGGAAAACACAAACAGGTGCAACCCATCTCTAACTATTATCTAAGAAGAAGGGGAAGTATGTCGAAACAGGTGAGCTGAGCCACACTGCACGCAAAACCATCTGGCCTGAAGAGCTAACAATCCTACCTCTGACAATTCAGGGGGGGAGAAGACGTCTATGTCCTTGCATTACAAAGTCTTTCATACTAGGGACAAGTTATTCTACCTAAAATGCTGATGGCAGTGGGCGAATATGAGGCCACGCAAGATGAGGAGAGTGTGGACGAGTTTGCTGTGCCGCAGGGGTCAGAGAAAGCGCTGCGAAGGCAGCAAGCTCACATCGAAAGACTGTTTGGAGTCACCGTGAACATAATTGGAGTGCTTATGCAGGATCCGGTACCCCTGCAATACACAGGACACCAGCAGATATGGGTTCAACTTAATGGTGAAAGAAGGAGCATAGTCAAAGCTAAGGTAAGGCTGCAAAAGTTCTAGGTCATTTAAAGCAGAGTTCCACCCAAAAGTGGAAGCTCTGCTTATCTGCCCCCTCCGCTGCCACATTTGACACCTTTTGGGGGAAGGGGGGAGCAGGTACCTGGTTTTGACAGGTATCTGCTCCCACTTCCACCTCAGTTCACCACGGCACTTACCTGTCCAGGGATCCAGCGGTGTCCTCAACCCGAGCTGGTTCTTCAAACAGCTGTCGGGTGCTGCCGCCGCCATCTTGACTAAGGCCTCCATCCTTCTCTTTTGGGACATTTCACAGGCCCCAGAGGAATGCGGCCCATTGACAAAGCACAGCGCAGTAGGAAACTGGCTGTGAAGCCACAACACTGCTGGTTTCCCTTAGTCAAGATGGCTGCAGCAGCACCACCCAACAGCCGACTGAAGAATCAGCTGCGGGTAAGGACACTGCTGGATCCCTGAACAGGTAAGTGCCCTAGCATTAAAAGTCAGCAGCTAAAGTATTTGTAGCCGTTGACTTTTAATTTTTGGGAGGCGGGACTGGCACTCTTCTTTAAAGTGGAACTATAGCCACTTCAGCTCCAGCGACACGACATCCTGGAGATCCCCGCCGACTGCTGACATCTCCCAGTGGCCGGTGTCCAGGTATTGAATGCCAGGCGCTTTAATTGGTTGCACAGGGATGACATTGCTCCCGTGCATGCGTGGGAGTTCCATCAGCTTCGGCATTGTCAAATATCTACAGTGGCTCACTATACAAAGGCAGAAGATTAAAAATTTTAAAAAATGCAAAAGAGACAAAACATATTTCTTCTGCATTAAAAATCCTGCCTGTTCACACATTTTTATGTGCTGCCTAAAGTTCCACTTTAACATTTTTCACTAATGTTGTGTGCTATACATCATTTGAAATAGAAATAAGGCCCTGTCCCAGCCAAAACATTTTTTGGGTTCTATATAGGAAAGTTTAAAAGGTTGGATTTTTATTGCTGTCTGTGTCTCTACTGGTGAGACTTTCTCTCACATCCTGGGTGGTCACCGTGACAGGAAGTGAGCACAATATTTTGGAATGGGAACATGAACCGCAATACATTTTTTTTTTTTTCTCCTTGCAGGGGAAGAGATGAAATAATTATTTTAACGTGGTCTGTGGTTGCATTGGAAAGGTTCCCCATACATTCTCTGCGGTTACAGGGATAAGAAGTGAGGGAACATTATTAAAACCTCACAGAGGTTCTATGGCCATATTTCTTAATTAATCATTCTTTAGCACATTTGTCAGTGAATGATTAATAGGTAATTTTTTTTTTGTTAAACAGTTTGCCTCAGCAGTCTGTCAGAAACCCTCACTCTTTTGCTCTAACAAAGCACAGCTTTCAGATGTGGGGAAGATTGTGACCTTCCCCATGTGACAGTGGCCTGATCAGTCCATCTCCAGGCCAGCGCACTGTCACATGGAAGGGTTAGGTCTCTTTTAAATGAGAGACAAATTTAACTTGGCATGTCCAGTGTCAAATGCATCACCACCTGTCAAACGTGCCTATTGAAGTCAACTGGACTACACTGCAACCACAAGTCAAATATTTCAAGTCAATGAAAAATTTCATGAAAATTCCAATTTGGCCAGAAAAATTGCCAAAAAACAGGCATTCGGCAGTATCACCTATTGAATATTGAAAACTGAAAAGCGATCTACCTTATCGCTGTTCAGAAAGATGTCAGGGACGGCCACCCATGTGAAAGAGCCCTTAGTGGAATCATCACAAGTAAGTTCTGACACCACCCAATACTGGAGTTTACCCAGGGTGAATTCCTACAACAGGCAGCTAGAGGGAATAGGTGGTGAGTATACTCGGTGTTAGATATTGGGCTATGAAGAGAAATTGTCACTGTGCCCTGAAAGGGCAAATGACTGTGTCTCTTAATAGCCTTCAAATTTCTAGGGATCCCAAAACTTTAGTTAAGGAATACGGGAGATCCCAGTACTGATGGGTTCATGGAACTCCTGGGAGGTGTTTCTCCACAGTTCCCCTGTGGCATCACTAAAGGTGTCTCCCCACTCTTCCCTGTGACATCACTAAAGGTGTGTCCCCACTGTTCACTGTGGCATCATTAAAGGTGTCTCCTCACAGTTCCCTGTGACATCACTAAAGGTGTCTCCCCACTGTTCCCTGCAACATCATTAAAGGTGTCTCCCCACAGTTCCATGTGACATCATTAACTGTAAGTCCATGTTTGGTATTGGTCTAAATATGGATGGCATAACCTGTAACTCTAAATCCATTTATAGTGCCATGATTCCTTTTATTTTTGCAGGGAAGAGGCCATTTCTTCTTGTTAAGGTACGGATGAGTTAAAGGACAATTTCACCCCTATGATTGTTACATGTTCCACCTTTTTTTAGGATGGAAAATGTAATGTGTTCCCAATGCTGCAGCCGCTGCCCGATTTCCCCCCCCCCCCCCCCCCCCCCCCCCCCCACTCCCAGTGACAACAGTACAGGAAAAAGTTCCCCATACTAGCTGTCACTTTTAAAAAACAGCGCGGCAGTGACAAGCTCCGCCCACACGGCTGCATCATTCATTCACAGAGTTCTGTAAATGCATGAACTGCAAATTCCAACAGCCTGAGCTGATGTCAGCTTCTAGTTCTCAATGAACTACCATGGCACTATGGGAAAATACCTACTGTAAAAATAAAAGACACTATACTTGCCTTTGAAGCATCTTATATCTTAAATTGTACCTTATCACTGCTCTGCCACTGCTGTAGGTATTCCACCACCAAGATGGGTGGAATACCTGCTCCCCCCCCCCCCCCCCATTCCACACACAAATGTCTCTACTTCCAGCTTGTATATCCTGTAGTGAGATGCAAGCTGGCAGGAGGAAAAGGTATTCACCTGGAAATGTGAAATCGGTAAAGTGTAAACTTTGGTTTCTTGCATGAAAAGGTTGCATAAATAAAAGCTTTTATGAGTATGGTTTTAAGAAAAATATACAATAATCCTCTTCTGTTCCTTTAGGATTATATTAAGGGACTATGCACCCCAGAGTTAAATGAGAACTTTAACTACCCACGTGAGATGCACTGCATCTTTGTTGGGGCAGGATGTCTCTTCCTTGACTGCCTAATTAGAGCTACTTCAGCATGTATCAAACCTCAAAGTCATGGACTAATTACAATCTCTGGCTTGGCGGAAGGAGTAGTGATGGCCCAAAGCCGAATTCATGCATTTTTAGATGTATGTGACACCAAGCCAGAAGACCTAGAAACCTCTATCAAAAGGAATTTTAAGACTCTGGTAGAAGAACATAATGACCTACATGCACTTGATCTTCTTATTCTTCCAACTTCCACCAAGGAACAGTTACTGGCTCTTGTAGAGGAGGACAAAGAGAGTAGACAGAAACGATCCACAAGCCACCAGAAGGAATGTGATGCGATGAGAAAGCTTCCTCTCCTTCCTGCAGCAATGGAATATCCAAATCTGAGACTTGACAAGCCTTTAATATCACAGCCAGTAGATATAACCAAGACTAGGCCTGTTAAAGGAGTATTGCGTGAGAGGGCTTCTGAACCTCGTGAACCAGTTAGGAACAATATATGGGATCTGAAAAAACCACCAGTACCATTTAGTGTACAGGAAAGTCCAGTGACGGGGTTAGATGAATGTGAGTCTTCTGGTTCTTACCTGAATGAAGGAACTGAACTTAATGAAAGGATGGAACCACTAGTGAAAGATGATGAGGAATTCCAGCAAATATCAGGACTACTGGATACTATTATGAGGTGGGATGACAGAGAACCAGGCTCACATCACAATTTTTCTTTAGCAACACAAAAAGAGTTTAACATGCTTTTAGATTTTTTCAAGACAATGGGTTATCAGGAATCTATTGTGCTGAAGGTGTTGTCAGAAAATGGGATCCAGGAGCCTTCTCAGATTCTGGACAAAGTTAAATTAGAACAATCTAGTCATAACCATATTAACAGTCATCAAGTACAAAGGCCTTCTACTCTAAAAGGTATGGCACGTGCTCTTTCTAGTAATGATGATGACTACCTTTTAGAAGTGATGAAATCAGCTGCCAAAAATTGTGGCTATTCGCCCAGTGAAATTGTGGATATTGGGGATGGTTCTGTGGCTGGATTACTAAGGAAACTCAATGAAAAAAATGATTCTGAAGATTATATTTTTCAAAGTGGGCCTCAAAGAAAAGGGCACCAAGAGAATGATTTACAATTTCAAAAAAACCTTGCTCTAGCAAAGCCTGAGACAAAAATTGTTAACCCAACTATGGGAATGGGTGATCCACTGAGGACCAAACCAATGGGTAATAATCACCCAGTTGAGGATATCTTCCATGGTGGCCTTGAGCCAGAAACTATAGACACAGAGGAACCCAAAGATACAACTGGTAAGGAAGAATGCAAAGTACCTATTGTGACTGGAGCGCAGAGATTTAATGAAGCAATGCAGACTCCTTTCAAGCTTAACCTAAGAAATGAAAAAGGAAATGACCAACTGAGGCATATCATTATAGATGGAAGTAATGTGGCCATGATGTAAGTAATGATTTCAATTCCAGTTCAATTCAATAAAAATAAACATACATACAGTACTTAGGCTGATGTGTACTCAGGGCACCAAATCTCTTATTTCTATAGAGAACCAAATGGTATTTGTATATGGGACTTGTATATGTATATTGGTGCCCAGGAATCGAAAAAAACACATTTTTTATTTGTTTAAAGTAATTTTAAAGCTAGAAGCCCCCCCCCCCCCCCCATACTTACCTGAGATCGCACTCTATCAAGCGGTGTGCGTAAGAGCCAAATCCCTGTCCCTCCTCATTGGCTCAGAAACAGCAGCGGCAGCCATTGGCTCCCGTTGCTGTCAATCACAGCCAGCGAGGAAGGAAGCGAGGCCATGTGTTCTATGTGTGAATTGACACACAGAGTGCGGCTCAGGAGTGAGCTTGCTCCAGTGCCCCCATAGCAAGTGGTTTGCTATGGGGGCACTCATCAGGGGGGAGGAGCCCAGAAGAGAAGGACTGGGGCTGCTCTGGACAAAACCATTGCACAGAGTAGATAAGTATAACATGTTTGTTATTTTAATGAAAAAAAAAATCCAACCTTTACAATCAGTTTAAATACATGGTACCTTACTGTACAAATATTGTACATATAAAAACTTAAAGAAGTTCATATGTGTTAGGATTTCATCAGTTTTCACTGTATAAAAATATAATACAATTTTAAATTGTTTGGATAATGTAAAAACCAAGAAAACATTTCTAAGATAAGTGTTGTGTTGAACAATTCAGCCAATACTACCACTGGATACCTGTTATGAACAGAATTGAAGTGGAGAACCAAATGGCATTTGTATATGGGACTTATCGGTACCTGGGAATCAAAGAGCAACACATTTTCATGTTTTTTTAAATCATGGTACTTTATTATGCAAATATACTGTATATTAAAACATATATGAATTATTAAGATTTCAGCTCAGATATCCGCTTTTGTAAGCCTCCATATCTAGATGGCTTTTAAATGCCAAAATACTTCCAAACACTACATCATTTACAACCTCTGCAACATTTACATATGCATGTTTTCATGTGTAGTGCTACCCTCGAAGGAGCCGCCAATTTGGGCTCTCTGTTCTGCGCCTAGACTCTAAGAACAACCCCAGCCCCTCTGACACACCTGGTTGAATGAAAATCACTGCAAGCACTTACAAGAACACAAGTATAGATACCTTTTAACCACTTTAAGACCAGCCACTGCATTATAATGTTTGCAGGGCGGCACGGCTATTTGCTATTGCAAAACAGGTAGGGGGGCGCGCCCCCGCCCTACCTGTGTCACCAATCGCGGCTGCGAATGTCAGTCGCTGGGTCACGGTCAGTCATTACCGGCCGTTTCCCGGCGATTAGCGGCAAACACTGACAGAGAGCAGGGCTGCATTGTTTACACACAGCTCTGCTCTTTGTCAGTCCCTGTCAGCTCCTGACAAGCTGATTGGGACAGAAGAGTTTATCTGTCCTGATCAGCCTGTCTCCCTGCAGCACACACCCCCACCCCTAGTAAAACACTCCCCTCACACAGTTAACCCTGTCATTGAATAAAAATGTTTTACCCCTTCCTCCCCAGTGCCATTAGTACAATGTCAGTATTTTTTTTTTTTGCACTGATCACTGTATTGGTGTCACTGGGGATGTCAGTGACCCCAAGTCAGTTCCCCCCCAGTGTCAAAATGTCCGCCGCAGTCCTGCCATAAGTCACTGATCACCGCCATTATTAGTATAAATAAAAATCCCAGTATCTTTCCCGCCATTTGTAAAGGCTATAACTTTCACGTAAACCAATTAATATACACGTATTGTTGTTTTTTTTTTTTTTTTGCAAAGACATGTCGCAGAATGCATTTTGGCCAAAATTTATGACAAAATTTTATTTTTTATTTTTTTGTACTGGACATGTTTTATAGCAAAAAGTCCAAAATATTGTTTTTTTTTTCCTCAAAATTGTCAGCCTTTTTTTTTTATAGCGCAAAAAATAAACGCACAGGGGATCAAATACCACCGAAAGAAAGCTCAATTTGTGGGAAAAAAAGGATGTAAATTTAATTTGGGTGCAGTGTTGCATAACCGCGCAATTGTCAGTTAAAGTAACGCAGCGCAGTAACACAAACCTCTTCTGTAACCGCTTCCTGACCGCCCTACAGCAGAAATACTGCTACAGGGCGGCATGGGTACGCAACATCACATATATATACATGATTTGCGCTCCAATGGTTTTCACGCCCCTTCCAGATAGCATCAGATTGCCCGTCAGTACACCAGTCATCACATTTAACCCCTTGATTGCCAGGAGCACGCTCATGTACAATAAACCTCCATTGCTAGTATAGTGTCTGAACGGGTCAATATCTTTGATTAGGTCAGCACTATACCAGCGTTCACATTAGTATAGCGTTCCCAAAAACGCAGCGTTAGCGGGATCAGCCACGGCACCTGCCAGCACCTGTCTTTATCCCCTACGCTTACCCCCCCCCCCCCCCCTTCTTTCCCCAGCAAGTGCAGTGTCAGTAGGTCACTGTCACTTGATACATTGCACAAAAAACCACAGTGTTCGCAGAATCAGGCCTGATCTCTGTTAGCACTTGCAGGTAAATTTTGATGACACTTATATGCAGCAGAGTGCCAGTACTAGTGCCGCTCTACCTTTTGGTGAACTGGCGAGTACCAGCGGTGTGGTACATCCTGGTTTTTCACATACCTCCTTGATTTTTGGAGCTGTTTTTCATGGAATATCTGTATACGTTGATTGTGGATCAAAGCAATTTATATGCACAACAATTCATCGCCGCCAACCCAAATTCAAACCTTGCCAGACCATTTGCATGGAAACTCATTACGGTTTTCGAATTTACATTTTTTTGGGGCCTAACCCTCAACATGGGCATTACTAAAAGAAATGAATTGCGGTGGTTGTATTGGTCCGCAGACCCGATTCATCATATACCCGTGTTCTCTGCTGCCATGGCCAGGCATAGATATGAGAGTAAAATGTGTTTTATGCATTTCAACAACAATACACTCTGTCATCCTCGGGGTAACCCCGAATTTGACCTGCTCCACAAAATTCAGCCCCTCGCAAATCACCTTAACCAAAAATTTGCAGATGTCTATACTCCCCAGCAAAACATCTGTGTTGATGAGTCCCTCATTATTTTTTCTGGCTGCCTTGCATTCAAACAATTTCTCCCCTGCAAGCGTGCCAGATATGGGGTCAAGATGTAGAAGATCTGTGAGAGGACAACAGGCTATACTTAGAAGTTTCGGATTTACGAGGGAAAAGATAGTCACGTGGAGCCCCCCGGATGCCCAGACTACATGGGGAGCAGTGGCAAGATAGTTTGGGACTTGGTGTCATCCTTTTTCCATATGGGGTACCACTTATACGTGGACAATTTTTATTCAAGCGTGCCACTATTTAGACATTTGTTCAATCTTCAAACTGGCGCTTGTGGCAAATTGTGACCTAATGTGTGCCCACCATTAGAAGTGGGTGGACACAGGGCGGTATATTCTAATGGTGGGCATACCACACACTTTTTCTGGCAGAGATTTCTTCTCATTTTTGTCATTCAGTCCACAGGCTGCATACAAAAAAAAAAAGAACATAGCATATATAACCAACAAGGACCAGCGATGTATTGGTACATCACTGGACTTTGAATGGTTTATACCAGGATGATGCCTACAGCTGCAGGCATCATCCTGGTATCGTTTTTTTCAGCCGGCGATCGGCTTTCATGTAAGTGCAATCCTAGTGACTAATTAGCTGCAGGATTGCTTTTACAAGCAGTGGGAGTTGATGCCCCCCCTGCCCCGCTGCCTTCCATGGCCTTCTCGGGCAGTCTTGTGCCATCGGGGGAACCTGAGAATGCAGCCGGTGTTTCTGCCAGCTGACCATAGAGCTGATTGGAGACCAGAATGGTTCCAATCATCTCTATAGTCTAAGAATTCGGAAGCTACAAGCATTTCATCACTTCAGTTTTGCAGGATATAAACAGCGCCATTTGTAAATTGGGAAAAGCATCTGATCACACCGATTTTGGTTTGATTAGATAATGTAAGGGCAGAGGAGATATCTAGAGTCTGATAGACCCCAGATTTCTCAAAACAAAATATATGACAATACCCATTGAAGTTATAGGAGATATTTGCATTCCCTGTTATAGAATTAGAAGTGATCAAACCAAAAAAAAAAAAAAATGAAAGGTACAAATGTAAAAATAATAAAAAAGAATCAAAATAACTAAAAAAAAACACAAAAAAAAAAACCCGCCATTCCCATGCGCGCACACCTGTGTGCACAAGCCTTGACCCTGTGGCGGTATGTAAACAGCGGTTGCACCATGCATGTGAGGTATTGCCGTGAACGTCAGATCGAGGGCAGTAATTCTAACACTAGACCTCCTCTGTAAATCTAAAATGGTAGCTTTTAAAGGCTTTTAAAAGCGTTGCCTATGGATATTAAAAATGTTTGCAGATTGTCGCCATTGCACGGGGCATGCGCAGTTTTAAAGCATGTCATGTTTGGTATCTATTTACTCGGCATACCATTATCTTTTATATTTTACAAAATAATTGACCAATATATTGTGTTTTTGTGCATTAAAAGTAAAAAAAGTGTTTTTGTTTTTTTTTTTTAAATTTGCTTTTGAAAAAATCGCTGCACGAGTACTATGTGCCATAAAAAATTGTAGTACCCACCATTTTATTCACTAGGGTGCCTGCTTTAAAAAAATATATAATGTTTGGGGGTTTAAATTAATTTCCTAGCAAAAAATACTGATTTGTTTCATGTAAACAAAAAGGCTTGATCTTCAGGTGGTTAGAAGAGTGTGTGATGTGTAGCATAAACTTCTAATGCTGGGCATAAAAAACACCCCCACCCCCAAAAACTACCCCTTTTTGGAACGTAAACACCCCAAACTATTTGCTGAGAGGCATGTTGAATCAATAGAAGAATTTATTTTTTTACCA